TATTTATGATGTACAATAATATTGTGATGTATACATACGTTGTAAAATGGCAACATCAAGCTTTTTAACACGGACATTACCTTATAAGCTTATTTTTATGGTGAGAACACTTAAGATTCATCTATTCTCTCAGCAGTTTCCAAATATACAGTTTATTCAGCATACTTACCATGATGCACAATAGATCTCTTAAACTTACTCTTTTTGTCTAACTGAAATTTTGTGTCCTTTGACGAACATGTCCTCAATCTTCTCAACCTCTATTTTTCTCTCTGCTTCTCTGAGTTTGACTTAGTTTATATTTCATGTATGAGTGAAATGATGCAGCACTTCTTACGTTTTGTTAGTTCTGGATTGGTTTCAATTTCATAATTTTTATCCTTATTATGAGTCTTATTTTGGTACTTTCCAGCATAAAATTTTGACTAGATGCCACACATTACAAATTAACAATTTTGGTGCCAGATGTTTTTATATTTTTATAAATACTTTTGAGTTTTGTTCTGGGAGGCAGTTAAATTCCCTGGGAACATTTTGCTCCATTCATGTTCATTTAATTTGTTAAGCAAGACTGCAGCTACCACCAAGGCAAGTTCCTTCCATAAATTCTACTCAAGAACTCAGCCAGGCTTTTCAGTCTGGCTTCTGTGGCATGCACTGTTCAATTGAACACTAGGGGAGGATCCTCTGCAGATATCTTAATTGACTATTCTATGGTTCTCCCTCTTTCACTTCTCTCTCTCTCCCTCTCTCTCTCTCTCTCTCTCTCTCTCTTTCTTTCTCTCTCTCCTCTCTTCCCCTCTCCATCTCCCTCTCTCTTCTCCCTTTCTCTCTCTCTCTTTTTCTCTCTTTCTCATCTCTATCTCTATCTCTCTCCACCCTTCCTTCCCCCTGTCATAATCTGTGCTGCAAACTCCACCTCAAACTCCTCAGACGCTCAGCTTCATGAAGTCTGTTTGACTCAACTTCAGTTCACCCTTCCTGTGCTGCTAGCTAGAGTTTCTTTCAAGGGAGTGACATGGGCAATCACCTTGTTCTCTGTCATCTCTACCCTTAGTTGTCTGATATCCAGTGTCTTGAAAACTTCTGGCTCATGTATTTCTTTCTTTCTTTGTTTCAGATGGTGGGATAAATCCTGTTATTCCATCTTGGCCAGAGCAGAAACCCTACCATCGAATTTTTTTTCTACAATTGCATACTGAGTTTCCTTCCATTTTCTTATGCTAGGCATTCATCTATATGTATTATAATTTTCTTATCAGTTATATTATTCCCCAATAAATTTTTGATAGTTCAGCAAAAATTGGTATAATCTGTTAAAGAAGCAATTTGACAACACCTATCAACAATGTAAGAATATATATCTTTTAATGTATGGTTCCATCTGGTAATTTAGCATTAGGAAATAAAAGCTAAGCACAAAGTTCATTGCAGCTTTGTTTTTGATAGTGGAAAATTGGAAGTAGACAGGCACAGTACTACATACCCATAATTCCAGCATCAGGAAAGCTGAGGCAGGAGGATCATAAATTCAAGGCCAGCCTGGGCTACATAGTGAGACCTGTCACAGAAAAAAAATGGAACTTAAATATTTGTTGGAAAATATTTAATGGTCCAAGAAAAAGCTTGCAGTATAAGATAAAGGGATAAAAGAAGAATATAAAACTGCATGCACACAATAATCCTAATCTGATGTGTAAAATTATTTCTGTCCAGAAGAATGTGAATTTTAACATCAACTAAACTTCTTCCAATGATCATGATTTCATGATCAGAACAAAATGCATAATTATAAAGACAGTTATAATAATTGTGTTTCTATTAAATAAATAAAGGTCCTCATTTTTTCATCCCAGTACTAAAGAAACTTTACATTTTAGTTCATTATCTAGGTATCATGAATTCCACTGAAAGATGATCCATAAAATATGCAGTTCTTAAAAAACAATTATAAAGACAATCTAGTTACTTGAAGACCTTTTCTAGAATTTTCTTTATCTTACCTGATTCTATCATATTTCTACCTTCTTTACTGTCTTGGTATTGCTTCTTAGGCATTTATTTACTCAGTGAGACCAATTTATAAAGCAAAAAAAGAAATAATCATATCCAAAACATATCCCTTAATGAATATCCTTAATCTTTCAACTGAATGCTATTGTGATACAGTGCAGTGCTCGGAGTGATAGCCCTCCATCAGTGTGGGACAAGGGGCAGAGCTGGGTTTTGGAGCACAGATGTGAGGAGGTGAGAAGTTCAATGTGAGGAAGCAGCTAGAGCAAGGTGAGGACAGTATTCATGCAGGGAAGAGGAAGGAGCTATGAAGGGAGATTGGTTGCACACAGAGAGCTCAACCACATAAATCAATCTATTGGAGAGAATTAGAACCAAGTTTCTCACTTGTGAAGAAGGAGATAACAGTTATGAAAAGAGGGAAACAAAGTAACCTTGTAACCTTGGCTTGGAGTTGAAGGTATTAATGTGGCTTATGGATTTCAAGAAACATAAAAAGTTAGGTAAGTAAATACAGATGTAAATGTACGCATACAACTGCACACACACACACACACACACACACTACCCAGTTCTGTCCACTGCCATGCCAACAATAAGATTCACAACTATATGCTTCCCAAAAGGAGCCAGGGATATTTGGAGAAATGACTGATTTAAGGGATATCATAGAGATGATATAAGATGAACCTGCAAAATCTTTTCATACAGAAAATGAGGACATATTTGAAGAGTAATAAGAATATGTCAAAATGCAGCAAAGCCAACTTGAAAAGACTTCCAGTGGCCATACCTGAGACAATTTGAGTATCAAACAATCATACTAACAGATTATAAGCCACTTGAAGTAAATAAGAAGCCAATAGTCTATACCACAATAAATAAATGGAAAGTTTGATAAGGAATTGGATTTTGACATACCTTCAATGTACCTTACCTCAAAATATTTACTAATTAACAAAGAAAACAAAAATAACTTCACAATAGGGAGGCCTAGAAGACACTATCTTTTTTGTAAAGTGAACACCACAAGAATAGAGCCAATCAGAATTGTGCTACCTGACAAGACACAGTGAGAATATAGATTCACTCTGTGGCATGCATGCCAAAGACTCACAATCTGAGTCTAATCATGAGGAAATATCAAATAAGTGAAAATTGAGAGACATCAGACCAAATAACTTGACTACAATCTTCAAAAAAGCCAAGGTCATGAGCATCAAGGTAATAGTGAAGAACTGTTCAAACTGAAGGGGACTAAAGAGACATAATAGCCAACTGGAGTATTCCATGGTGAATTGGACATCCTTTTGCTAGAACACAAGATTGAGACAAATGACAAAATTTGAATGAGGTCTAAGAGTAATGGCAGTCATGTTTCAAATGGTTTTTTTACTTTAATTTTTTTTCTCTTTTAGTTTGATTTTCAGTTTTTTTGGTTGTTTTGTTTTGTTTTGTTTTGTTTGAGGCAGGGTCTTGCAGTGTAGCCTAGGAGACTTCAAAACTTGTGATCCTCCTGCTTCTCTCTCCCTAGTGCTGGGATTATAGACATGAACCACAATGCCTACCTTAATTTTCTGATTTTGACTGTGAAAGAGAATGTTCTTGTTTATAAGCATCATCCCTACATACGCAGTAGTGATAGGGTATCAGAGGAAAAAAAGCTCTTTACCCTCCTTGCCCAACTGTGGGCAAGTTATTTTGCATCTCTAGTCCTGTTTCTTCATCAATACTCCTGGAATAGTAATGGTATCTATCACCTAGCATTGTTATGAGATTAGATAAGATAGTAAAGGCAAGGTGCTTATTTGGTGCTCAGTAAATGTTGGCTATTCTTTGAGTGCTTTTATGTAATAATACAACTGTAGTATTAAAATTATGGTTACTTACATTTATTTTTTATTTTTCTTGTACTCTGGCTCTCTTGTAGTCTACCTTCCCTTCTGTCCTCTTTCTTCTCCATGTTGGTCTCCTTTTCATATCAACTCTTACCTTCTAGCAAAAGCATTTACTGAGTATGAGCTCAGATGACTTGAGTATAGTCCTTGCATGATTACAACTTCACTGATAAAGAATTCATATATAAAGTAAATATACCTAAAATATTTTTTAAATCTTGTTTTTATGGATTTCATAAGGCAAAAATTATTAAAATAGAAATTAACAATTGACCTTAGAATCAGATTCAGTTTTAATAAATATATAGATACAGCATTTTCTTCCTTATTGCTATCCATGAAATACAATATGCAAAACCTTCCTAGATAATTCAAATATGTAAGTCATCTTTTCCGAGCACTTACGCTTTAAGTATGTGTCTGTTATGCCTGTATATAAAACTGGCACTTTCATGGTATTATTAAAATATTTATTTTCCCATAAAATTCCCAATAGTAAACAGTGAAAAATGCTTAACTGAAGACTGACTCTTTTTTTAGATTTTTTTAACAGCAACTATGATTCTTCTACTTTCGATCATCAGCTTTCTCTTCAGTAGTTTATAAGTCAGAGTTGAAGAGGTGGGATGTGGCTATGAACGGATATATACGTGTGTGTGCACACTATATAGGGAAGACAAAAGAAACTCTATAATTTCAACTTCCAATACTCTTAACTTGGATTGGGGAGTAAAATCTTACAGAATTATATAAAGAAAGCATCCAGACAGAACAACATAAGTCTTTTTAGGCAGATCATATTTAATTTCTGATAATTTCTTTCTATTGTATATCTTTACAGTCTTCTGCCCTGTTGTATTGCACTAAACTCCAGTTCGTGTGGATGTCTCAATTCAATATGGAACATAAGGTAGAAAAAAATGAAACAATGTTTTCCATAGTTTAGAACATTTTAAAAACAATCTCTAAGTATAAAGTCTTAGAAAAAAAAGCCTATTTTATTTTATAGGAAATGATAGGAGGAATTCTTATAAATTTAAAGTTAACTGATTTCTTTCTCTAAATATGTCTGATTAAATATGTCTGAAGAATTGATGTCTTCACTCAAAATGCAACTAACATGGGCTGACAGTTATCATTTCCTTCATATATGGATGGGAGATAACACTCTTGACTCTGAGTATTGCTTAGGTGCTTCCTCTCACACGAATGATAGAAACCGCAGCAGTGACTAGATTTACTAACAAGGATAAACAAGAACTGAAGCATGCTGGGAAGGTAAAATGATGGCTGTTATTACCATCACAAATTTTTTAAAGTCATCAGAGTCCCATCTTTATGATGCCTTAACCTCATCTCTTAGATAAAGGCACCATTTATGTAGTGTATACATATTGAAACACATATTGAATGGTGTGGAATGGGGTGTAGATATGCAACAACCACAGGTTCTGCAATTTAGAGCAGGGAATCTGGCATCAAATTGGCTGAGTTACATTCTATTTTTAATCACTAAATGTGTGACCTGAGCAAGTTATGTCAACCTTTGTCAACTATAGTTTTCTCCTCTGTAAAGTGAGAAGAATAATAACAATGACCATTTATGGATCTTTGTATTACACAAAGCTGAATTACCATGTGCAAAACACCTAAAATGGTGTATAGAGGACAGTAAGTGTTTAATATGTCAGCCATTATTACTGTTACCTATCATAGGGGAGTTTTCTAACATACTGATTCCTCATTCTCTTCTGAATAAATTTTCTTGAGCAATTCTTCTGCATATTTTATTTTTCAAAATCAACAGGAAACTTAGCAGTTTCTGAACACAAGGCAATGCACTCATATTGATGGTAAAGCAAGCTTCTAGAGACAAGGACCATCAATATGCTGATTGAAACGAACTATTTGTATGGTTACTGGGAAAAATCCTTGGCATGTTTAAGCTTCTCATGATCAACCATATTCATAAAATAACCATTGAATTGGAGATTTGGAGAAACACTGTTGCAGAATCATAGCATCTTGAATTGAAAGAGATGTCATTTGACCCAACGCTTCATTCACCCCAAGAAGGCATGCTTTGTTACACTGCTCATCTATCTTCTATCCTTCCCTTCCCTTCCATGGCTGGCAGTAACATTACTTTCCCAAGTGCCCAAACTTAGATAGCCTTGGATAGTAGGCAATTATGGTGTTTTGAATTTGATGTTTTGAGTGTTTTTAGTTGTTTTTGGTGCCTTCCTATCCTACTCTTCTTGATTTTCATCTTGGTAGAGCTCCAAAACCTATTTTTCATGACCACCTTTCAGAAGCTGCATCATATAACCACTGAATCTTCTATGGGCAGTATATCCCGGTATATCTCAGTGGTGGGCAGTATATCCCAGTATATCTCAGTGGTGGACAGTATATCCCAGTATATCTCAGTGGTGGACAGTATATCCCAGTATATTTCAGTGATGGGCAGTATATCCCAGTATATCTCAGTGGTGGACAGTATATCCCAGTATATTTCAGTGATGGGCAGTATATCCCAGTATATCTCAGTGGTGGACAGTATATCCCAAGTCTTGAAGCTGCTCCTCTCATGACAAGGTTTCAAAGCTCTTCACCACATTGTGCTGAACATCCTCTGAATATAAGAATGATTTTCATATCACTTAAGGAGTGTACCATAGTGACTGGATTACACCTGGCACAGTATAAATATCACGAGTACTCTTGAGTAGGCATGCCAATACATGACTCAGTGTAATCTGGTTTGCCTGACCCTTGACCTTTCCACTTTTTTTCCCTTACCATTTTTTGAAGCCAGTATTATATGGATACCAAAGCAAGACAGACACTATAAAAGAAAACTAAAGGCCAATATCCCTGATGAATGTAGATGCAAAAATCTTCAATAAAATCTCAAAATACTGTATTTGACATCACATTGATATCCAAGTGGCAATTTATTCTTAGGATACAAGGATGGTTCAACATTCACAAGTCAATAAATGTGACACATTACCTTAACAGAGTGAAGGGTAAAAATCACATGATCATCTCAATAGATGTAGAAAAGCATTTGACAAAATTCAGTACCCTTTCCTGATAAGAACTATCAGGGTTCCTTTGTGTCTTTCTTCATAAAGTGGTTTCAACTTATTACTGTCTAATGTTATTTTAGTGGCAGAGTATTATAACATGAATGAAGTCTTGAGGATGCAGCTCAGTAGTAGAGCACCTGCTTAGCATGTGCAAGGCTCTGGGTTTGGTCCCCAGCACCACACATGCACACACACACACACACACGTGCACATGCACACATACGCACACACACAAACATACACACACACGTGAGTTGCTTGTGCACTGTAAATAAAGATTGGTAATTTTAAAAATTAACAAACAAAATATGTAAAAGATGATATCACATATCAAGTGCTATTTATAAGATAGCAACTGAAGCTGTGGAGAACATACATACCATGGTGTCATTAACAAGAGGAGAAAAAGCCTTTGAGCAAATGTATGAAGAGATTCTTCAGACCCAACACAGGTGATCGTAGATTCAAACTGACTCCATTGCTCTGCTCTGTCCTGGAAAGTGCTCCTGAGCCACTCCAGTGATCTGCCAGCCATTGTACTTCCTAAGAATAGCATATCATGATTTCTCACATGACTTCACCAAGAGGAAATGAACAAGAACCAAGGGCAAGCACAACTAGAATATATATTGTAGGTCTTCCATGCTACCATTCATTGTCTCTTACTAAGTGTGCACATTTGTCTTATTGTCCTGAAAGAAGATCAAAGAAATAGCATAGCCAAGAAAGAAAATAAGAGTGCTCATCTCTGACATTAAAACTCAATTATATATACACAATAAATGCACTCACTGAACCAGCCCTCCTTATCACATTGATTCAGTGACTCTCTTTGTATTTCTTTATCAGAGAGATAGCTTTGTAATCTGTTACAAACATCTTGAGGTTGGAACAGCCCTTTAATTCTCACTATTTATTCTCTGAATGTAAGATTCTGAAAGAAAATTAGAGGATATTTCTACATACCACTAAACCAAATCTCTTGAACTCTTGCATTAGCTATTCTTTCACAACATTGTCCATTCATTTGAAATTAACAAAGTGTAACAAAGCAACTTTGTTACAGTAAGCTATAGAGTATATAGAATATATAGTTGTAAATCACCATAACAACTGTCTTTTCTATTATAAGTCTCAGTAATTTTTTTAAAAATCGCTTTCTCTTTAATCCTTAGAAAGGATGTATATCTACTAAATTATAACATTTTGAAGTCCTCTATATTCATCACTCTAAATTTATTAAATTGACCTTACATAACTTATACCCCATTATTTGGTAAATTGTATATTTCAGAAATACCTTGAAGAAAGCACAGATCATTGGAAGTTGCTATGCGTTCAGCCACACCTTTGTGTATTTTGTCTGTGTGGCAAAGTTTCGATTTGGAGTTTATTTAGTTCAAGCTGGACAAATGACATCAGAGGGCATGTTTACTTAAGTTATGCAAATACATAAGCCCAAGTACATATCATTCAGAAAGATGTCTAATCTATAGAGGATTATCACATTAATCACATATGTGGGAAAAGCATGCTTGAAACATTTAACTATATATGTGCTTTCTTTTTTATTGACAAATGATATTTGCGTATTTATGGATTGTAATGTGATGTTTTGATATATGTTTAATTGTGTAATGGTGAAATCAAACTAACTATTTGTTGCTATTTAATATCTAGAAGAAGTACAGAATAGCTGGTGAATTACTGATACTGACATAATACAAATAATCTGAGTTAAACTCCCAAATGATCAGTTTACTAGAATATGGGAACATAAAAGCAAAATGTGCCTTGGTGTACACTCCTGGAGGAGTTTGGGAGATTTTGTGGAATTCCCAGTGTGGAGATGGCTTTATTAGATATTGCTACTGTTACCAGACTTGCTCTGTCTGAGTCTGGGGTCTTTGTCTCCCAAATTCAAAGAATGAAAATAATGGACAAGAGTATGCAAAGCAGGAGAGTTTACTGTGATAGAAAAATAGCAAAGAGTAGAGCCCCCAGAACGGAGAGGGTTTCCAAGAGAGTGTTGCCAGAGTGATGTGGTCTAGTTTTTGTCCACAAAACTCTCTAGAGCATTTTCTCTAGAGCATTGCTCAATCTCTATGCTAACTAGGTTTGCAGAAAGCAGCATTCTGGCTGGCTGTGCTTGCAACCTCCTAATGGGTCATGCATGCTCTGTCCCTAGTAGTGTCCTCATTTTGGTCTGTCTTGCTTTTCCCTTTTCTCCACTCTTTAAGGTCACAGGGAAGTCATATGGAGTTTTCTGAAGCCCTTCTGTCCTAGCTATACTAAATTTAGCTAACTGGCTAGCCTACGTGCTCACTACAAATCAATAAGGTCAAATTCTTTTCTAAGCAAGCACTCCAAAAAACAGTTAGTGTTTCCCTTCAAAAAGTTACATTTGAAATTGACAATTGTTACCAACAAGGCTGCTTCTTCCCAAAGCATTAATTGGAGTTTATATTTTGGAAATCTCCTCACAGTTATGTGTTTCTTTAGATCATAGAAAAACCTAAATATACCTACTGAAAATAGGCAAATTTGGAGTATTCATTCTGAGCTTCCTAAATCTAAAATGTTAGAAATGTTGCAACTTTATATCATAGATGGCATTGATAAACTTTAGAGCTAGAGAAAATCTATACAATATTTGACTCATAAAATAATGTTACATTTTTTAAAGTATGCTCACTAAAACATGCACTGCAGAGCAAGGATCAGTCTCCCAAATGATGGCATGGGAGATTACCCCTATTCCAGGATGCTGCCATCTAGTGAAACATTGGGACCTCCTCCTTGGCTGTTGCTTCCCACATCTCTTGACAGTCTCTTGCACATCCTTATTGGTGGCATGTATTTCTACTTTGAAGATATGTTTGATTTGAGGAAGTGGCCAAAAATAATTTGAAGTGAAGTAATTTCAGAATAACGTGGGGTAATTTTTAGCTTCTATTCATATGAAAATGTCTTTATTAAGAATTAACTAGGTTCTTGGGAAGTTTCTTCTGCTAGGCACTAATCAGAAAACAATCCATAGTTCACCAACCCAGTATTCCTAAATGTTACCTCACTTTTAAATTTGAACAGGTTAGCAGGTACAGCACTTACCAGTTTCCTACAGGCAGATTTGCTTGTAAAATGGAATAGTGTCTTGAAAATTTCACAAGAACAGCACAGGGTCCCTGATCTCTTTTGTTCTGCTAGTCTCTAAAACTGTGCAGTATAGAATCTGTGAATCCATAAAACACAATATTGGCATCTAGCCTTGGGTATCATTCTGATTACATAGACTAATTATGCAGATGAATAAGGAATAAATTCCAGAATCACATAAATTGACTTCCTCAGTACACAGGCCCCCATTAAATTAGCCAGTTTTCCCTTGGATCTTAAGCTTGGCACTCCCAGCTTAAAATTCATTGTATTCTAAAAGTTTGATTGCAAATAATTGCTTGAAACTTAAGTGCTGTCCTCATGTTGCTCTAAACTTTCTAGCCTTCTTAAATCCCCAGGGATTAGCAGAAAGCAAGTCAATTAAACAGTCATACTAGTGTAGGACATCCAATGATTTTTTTAAACTCACACAGAAGAAATTTTATTTCTTCTTATCAACTTCTCTGTCACTACACTTTGTTTTTTAGTCACCTATCTTAAGAAAAAGAACTCTTTCCCATGACCATAAATCCCCATCTTCCCTATTTCCGATAGCGCTATTATTTGTAGCTAAATTCCAAGTCATTGTCTATTGTTGCTGTCTACACCTCACCTTAACTTCTCCAAACTGTCTCCAGTCAAGCCTTATTTCCCACAAGACCATTAAAGACTCATTATCAAAGTCATCACTGACTTCCATCTCACCCACCCAAACTCAGCCATCTAATTCTCAGTTCTCTAGTGTCCTCTAACTTGACCTCTCAGTAGCATTTGACAGCTACTGAGAAACATTTTCCTCTCCAGGTTTCTCTAGGTTTTTCTCCTTTGCCATTGGCTTTACCTCCTCTATTGCCTGTACTGGCTTCTGGTTTTCTGCTGGTTTTGTTTGTGAGAGGACTTTAGAGTTCTCAGACCTTTCATTTTTGTACTCATTGGTGATCTCTTCCAGTCTGACAGTTTAAGTACCACCTAGGTATGATAACTCTTTTTTGTACATTTCCAACTCTGACCCTGAACATTGGACTCTCACCCAGCTACCTACTAGACACCTCTACTTTGATGTCTAATAATATCTTAATGTGTCCAAAACAGAATTCAATTGTTTTTCTCTCCAAAGCCTCCCTTCCCCCAAAGTTTCTAAAGTTTCAACCTTTCTTAAATCTCTAGAGCACCATTCTTAACAACACCAGCCATCATCCATGCTGTTGTTCAACCCAAGAATTAAGGAATTGCCCCTCTTTTCTCTCTTAATCTCACCAACCACATAACCACCAAGTCCTGAAAGCTCCAACTTTAAAGTTCTTCTCACCCTCTCCACCTATTTCATCCTCATTTAAGCCTCCACCTGTCTTGACTGGACCACTCCCCTTACTTTCCCACTGATGTCCCTTTGTCCACTCTTGCTTTCCTATAATCCATTCTCCACACTGAAGTCAGGCTGATCTTCTAAAGCACAAATCCAACTGCATCTATTCATTAAACACTGTAACCAATTCCTCTTGAAATTTGAGTGAAGCAAAATTCCTTACCATGACCTACAAGCCCTTCATGATGGAGCTTGTGCCTTCCTTTTCAACATCATCTCTCTACCTCCTTTGTGAACTTCCCATCAGCCCCAGGCTTAGGGTTTCTGTCCCTGGAACAACCTATCTCCATGTCTTTCTACTTTCTCTTCCCTCTGCCTGGAATGGTTATTCCCCAGGTTTTTGCTAAGCTTCTACTCCTAAGCTTACACCCCGACACTGATGACCCAGAGTGGTCCCACACTCTCCCTCCATCTTTCCCATTACCATGTCTTATTTTGCTTATAGAACTTATGATATAAGACTATCTTTTTGTTTCTGTATTATTTAGTCATAGGCTGAGAGTGGGTCTTAGCCTATCTTATTCATTAATGTTTCCTAAAAGCCAAAAACAAGAGGTTGGCATGGCATTTAACAGGCATACAATAAATATTCATTGATAAATAGCTGAGTCAGAAATGAAGGTGTGTGTAGCTCAGTGGTAGAATGTTTACCTACCATGTACAAGACCTTGGGTTCAATCCCCACCATACGCAAAAATAGTAGAAATAAGTTAAATTGAATAAAGGACAAAATTTGGAATGGTACATAATTAAGCAATCCAGTCATTCCCAGAAATCTGCCTATAGAGTCAATCACACTATCCCTATTTTTCAGATTTTTCTTTTTGTTTTTCTTCCCTTCTGCATCCAGACATCTAATACCAGTTACCTTGGCAGGAATACTAGGTCTATACCTAGTGTATGCAATTGGGAATCTACTTCCACACACTGAGGTTTGTTTAGGTGAAAACTAAGTAAAGAATTTTCTCAGTTAAAGAATGACACCTCAAAATCAAGTCAACTGCCTTCTTTTATAAGATTTTTAACTGATAAATAAAATTGTACATTTTAATGGGGTACCATGTGACGTTTCCATACATGATACATTGTGTAATGTTTCTGTTGGGTAAACACATATATTTCCACAAACTATCATTTTCAATGGAGAAATTTTCCCAAATCATTTCTTCTACCTTTTAAAAAATATACAGTACATAAGTATTATCTATCGTTACCTTATCATGCAATAGCACAGCAGAACTTCTTGTTCCTCTCCAACTGTAATATAGTACCCAATGATCAATATTTCCTGGACCCAGCCCATCCCCACTCTCACTGGCCTGTGATAATCAGGTTTGTACCAAATATACTGTTGATGTGTTTTTCAGAAAGAAACATGAGAGTACCCAGAATGAGTAATCTGTCCCACAAGCCTCTCCCTATAGCCAGGGTAGGCCCGGATGCCTCATCCACAGTTACTGGCCTATGGCCAGGCTGCAGGAGTCTACTCACCACATGAGCCCATAGGTGACAAGACTAGCAGCACAACACTGGATAGGACCAAGGCCCACACTGCTATAGGATGCCCATTGCTAAGCTAGACTCATGACCCAAGACTTCTGCAGCCAGCCACAGGTGATGCCAGATGAACAAGAAGTCTGACAGGTTGGGTCACATATCTTTTCCTGGCACTGGAGCTACACAGAGGCTCTGTCTACAGGCAGGCCGGGGATGGGGCCATTAGGATCTACTCAGCCTTAGGTTTCACTAGTAGCCCTGCACCAAGTGCCAGGGCAAAGGCATGTGCTTACTATGCTGTCCTACCCCCAGCCAATGCTGCCTGAGATTGGGCAGTGCTGGTTAAGAAGAGACCTTGAGTCACCTGGATAGAGTCTAAGTTGGGTTATATCTGAGTCTCACAGTCACGAGGACCTGCATAGATTTAGGGTGAACCATGGCACAGCTAGTGGTGATGCTCCCTAGACCTTGCCCCACCTTGGCTTTCACTATGGCCAACCTGGTCCTGGATTTCAGTCTAAGGCCTAGACTGAATTCTCTCTCCTTCTTTCCTTCCCCCAAGTGGGAGGTGCCTCCATCCTCACAAGGCCGTGTGGAGTTGGGGGAGGGGAGGTGGGCAATTCTTTCCTTCCTGCCTTCTTTAATACTCCTTTTGGATTAATTATACCAAAAGCAAACAGGGTGATCTCTCACCTGATTTCAAAAGCGTTTTTTAAATTTTATTTTTATATTAGCATACATTAATAATTCAAGGGGGTTTCATGCACATGCACAGTGTACATGTGTACAGTGCACATGTGTACAGGGGATGAACAAATTCATCCTCTCCATTATGTTTCCATTCTCCTGTCCCTCTTCTCCCGTCTTCCAAACAGTGTTTGGTGGGTTTCATTATGCCATTTTCATATGTATATATGCAGTGTACTTCCATCCTTTTCACTACTCAGTATCCTTGCATTTCCTTCTTCCTTCTCCCTCTGATTCCCCTCCCCTCGACAGTCCCCCTTCTATATTCATGTCCCATCGTCATCATCATTTTATGTCTGGGTTCCACAAATGAGAGAGAACATGTGACATCTGGCCTTTTTGAGCTTGGTTTATCTCACCCAGTGTGATGATCTCCAGTTATACTCACTTTCCTGCAAATGACATACTATCATTTTTCTTTGAGGCTGAATAATATTCCATGTGTATATATACATACATATAGACAAACATCATATTTTCTTCATCCTTTCTTTG